ATATATATGTGTGTGTGTGTGTGTATATATATATATATATATATATATATATATATATATATATATATATATATATATATATATATATATATATTGCTTATCCTTATGATTTATGATTGGCAATTCTCCTTTAGCTAGACATATATTCAACTGTCTTGCTGTCACAGATGTGGGCCTCATGGACAAAATTCAACTTACCAATCCCATCATTCTAAAGAAATATATCTCCTAATTTTGGTCTTATTCAACAGCTAAGCAGACTTTGCTTTAAGGTTATAGAGTTTTGTAACTGAAGTAGGTCATTTTGCTGCTTTCTATGTGTCCAGATCTAGAAAGAAGCTCTTCTTTCTACAGAAACATTCTCAGCACATAGGGTGTTTTAATAGCTACCAAGTTCACTTCTTGGAACATGTATGCTGTGATTCTCAAAGAAGGCTACAGTGAAGACATAAATGTCTTAAATTATGTATGATGTAGCCGAGTCATTTCTTGTTGTTTATCATGAGTGTAAAATATAGATTTTTCCAAAAGCCTCCAGCATTTTCTTCCTGCAATTTTCTGAATCAGACTGAGCCCAGTGCCCTGTTGTTGAGGGACATTGGAATCCTGTGACATGTAGCTGACAGCTCTCTCTTCTCAAAGAGTTGGCTCTCCTTGGGGGACAATGGAAGACAACTGGGTTCTTATTTGTGATTACCTGATCCTCCCTTGTTTATTATACAGCCTTCTCTGAGAGAGCTCCCACTCCAGCAACTACTTCATCACACAATCGGAAAATTGTCCCACATTGCGGTTTTTACGGGAATGAAAATAAACATTTAGTTTAGTCCGCTGTGCTCCACATCCCCTGTGACAGTCTCCTGTTCGGGTTGGCACAGGCACAAGCTGTAGCTCCTGTCCCCTCAATTTATTTTGATATTGAGCATGGGAATGGCATTAAAATGACTGGACTTGCACAATTGGATTTTTGACAGGTGCTCACTTTGCATTAGGTGATATTCCCTCACAGGTCTTTCTCCATATTTTCATATCTTTATTCTGGAGCTTTCTCATTTAATGTATTTTAAACAATCTCTTATATGAATCTTAAGTGAGGAAATGTCTTGGATGAAATTGTTTTGCTGCAGCAGTGATTTGAATAGAATTACTGGCCTGCTTGTTTATTTACTATACAGGAGTCTTTCCCTCCCTAAGATTGAAGTAGGTATGTCTTTTCATAATGATGTGAGTCGATTCATCAAATTTAATGAAGCTGATTGCATGCAGCTGGAAATTAAGTTAATTACTGACAAGCTGCATTAGAGCCAATTTAGGGTATAGATGAGCTCATTTTATGCATAATCAAGATATTTGACTATTTTGCACTCTATTTGACTTTTCTTGCTTGTTTCCATTTTTTAATGAGAGCACTTTAGCAATTATGATGATGTACACAAGGACTTGCTGATTTGTTATTCTGGTACTCATTGTTCAGCAGTGTAGACATAAACAGTTTCCTTCAAACCTATCCCAATCCTAATTTTCCTGCATAGATTTTGCACCGTGTTCTGTTATTGTTGTGTAGCACCTTCCAACATTTTCCAAGCAGCTTTTTGCTTCGGCTGCCTGGCAGAAAGCAAACAGTTTAGCAGTGAACCCTTGTTTGTCAAACGCCCTATCATCTGCAGCCTACCCCAGGAGGGCGTGGAGAAATTGGATTTGGGTGAGGAATGTGACAGAGTCATCCCAAGGGATGGATGTGACACTGGCTCTGTGTGATGAGAAAGCGGGGATGAGGCTGGTGTGAGTGTACTGGTACCCTGTCGCCTCCACAGCTCACTGTCTCCCATTCCCTTTAGCACTCCTTTTATTTTCCCCAGCTCTCCAGCAGTAATAGTTGTTACTTTGGTATAATTTATATATACTCATGCAATTATATCACAACCTTGAACTATCATTTTGAAAATTCATATCTTGAGCATATCTAACAGTAGCTTAAAGAAGCAATTCAAATACTTTGAAGAGAGTTTCTTATAGAAAGTTATGAGCTGTTATTTTCTTGCCTATAAGAGCAATGCAGATTTTTGGCTTCTTTGAAAATCTACAGTCAAATTCATGGTTTATGCTCGTTTAATCCAGCATAGATCTTTATTGGACAAATCTTTGCACAGAAGATGAAAATGACTTATAAGGCACATGGAGACCAGAGGACCTTCTTGTGGTAAACATGTACTGAGACCAAAAAAACTTTTCTTGTTACAGTAACTACTATACTATTATCTACTAGAAACTTTTAAAGCAATACTGCCAGTTTTTTTTTAAATCTTTTTATGTGTTCTGTTTTTGCACTGATTCGTCTCTGTCTCCTGCCTTTCCAGGCAAAATGATGTGTGTTTATACTGAAGGGGTTGGCAAAGAAAATGCAGTTTATGGAGGGAGTCTGAGTGGCTGTCAGCTGCAGCATAACGTGCAATGGGAAACCAGACATGTGACAAGTCGTTACAAAGTGGTTTTAGGTATCATACTGAACCTGGAGACATTCCATTTTGCAATAACTCAGCATGTTTAAAACTGGCATTCTCATTTTATACCTCATTGACTTTTACAGCCAATGAGCGTAAAAATAGTGTCATGAAAATCTGCACTGCATTTAAACATGGGCAACTATTGTTTCTTAAAACTTGTCTCATTAATCCACCCTGAAAAAAAGAGTCCTACAAATGCATCGTCAATTGGCCAAAATTTGTGTTAAGGTTACTGGATGTAAGTACTTCACCACCACTCTACGCGGGGTCAACACTGATCAAAATAACTCGCAGTTTTTGTTGGGATTGAAAGCCTTTTACTGAAAAAACACAGACAGCATCCGTCTGGGAGTTACATTCACATTCACTGCTCGAAGACTTCGGCTCTCCCTCTGCCTCTTAAATTCATCGATTCATCGTTCCTCTGAGACTGGATTGAAGGTCGCCTCACTAAACCTTGTCAACAAATAGAACATCACTTTACATTGAGCTGACAGCCGTGGTCATTGGTTTTCCATAAAATTGCCGCAGTCTATTTTACCGTTCACTCTTCATGTTTTCTTTCTTGTTCCCTCTGCAGAGGCGACCATTCTCAGTTACGACGGCAGTAAGTTTATGAAAGTCCAGCTCCCCGTGGTGATGCACACCGAAGCCGAAGACGTGTCCCTTCGATTCCGCTCCCAACGGGCCTATGGCCTGCTAATAGCCACCACATCCCGTGACTCTGCCGACACCCTGCGTCTGGAGCTGGAGAGTGGTCGCGTCCGTCTTACCGTCAATTTAGGTAACACCTCGAATGCATACACACACTGCAGCAGCAAAGCAGACTCGAGCTTGATAGCACTCACAAATGCACGACAGTGTTCCTATTTACGTTACATGTTTTGAATAGACAGAGAGACTGTAGCGACTTTCAAGGTCTAAAATCTGCGGCTCGAGGCTCACAGGCAGCTGAACACACGAAAACTACTCGTCAACAGGGAATGCTTGCTACCGTCTTTTTTTTTAGATGAAGCAGATTCTTCTTTCCTATCACAAGCTGATGTGTTCCTGTTGCATACAGTTTTGACTAAATACGATAACTGTCTGGGAAACAGTTGAATATTATTCTGTTAAAATTAATTATTACATGAATCTGATCATTTTGGAAAGTCGGTTGGAGGGTGACATAATGGTGTCTCCTTTTTTTTCTGAAAGCTCTGATGAATTCAAAGGTGTTGTTTTGTTCCTTTAAAGATATATATATATATAAAAAAGCTATTTCAGTGGAAGACATAAACATTGGCCTTATTTACACCACTATTCATTTATTTGGGTTTGTCCTTCCAATGATTATTCTTTGAAGCAGTTTCTGGGTCCAGACATCTGATACGTTCAACATATCTTATTATCCAGCAGCTTTGACTCTATGCAAAGAGGAAAGATTCTGCATTAAGCAAAAATAGACACCTTCTCCTAGGAGTTTGTGGCATTTTTTTTTTTTTTGCGAAGTAATGATCCCAGAGCTGTCTTTTGGAAGTTCGATGTGTTTCAGACACTAGAGTGCCACCCAAGTCTTCTATTCCGTCTTTTCGCTGGCTAAACAGAAATGGGTTCCCTAAATGGTGCCGTTTAGTCGTGCATGCAGAAGAGTCTTTATTCGCTGTCTACTTTAAAACAGCATGTGTCCAACTGCAAAACGCAACAGCGCCACACACTGACAGGCCTGACAGGTTAGATCACCGCCACTGCAAAAAGGTGCCCTCGGATAAAAAAACAAAGGGCTGCGTTGTTTTGTTTTCATTTAAATTCTTTCTGACAAATATAAGAGTTTTGGACTTTATTTCCACAAGCCCTTGAAGGCTGTCTTCCTTGTCCCTCTCAAAGAAAAGCAGAGCATTCCCTGGAAGGGTAGGCTTGTGTTGTTCTCTGGCTGTTTGCGACCACTTTTCTGCTGTGGTTGACAACACATGACAAGCAGGGCCAAATGGGAAGGCAGGGTTGAGGGGGATGATCTGGGTCACCTTTCTCAGAGCACAGCACAGGCTCAGCTTTCGCAAATAAAGGAGTCGAGAAAGAAGCACCGTTTTTGTAGCTTTTTTTTTATTATTTTTTTTATCAGTGACACATTTGTTAAAAGTGATAGCAACTAGAGTCTATTTGGTAGAATCTAAATTATTACTTGTCATGCAGTGACAAATATCACTGCACCAACTTTTCTTGTCTCCACATAAGTAAACATAGAGACAAATTCAAATATTTCACTTTATAGATACAATTAACTAATTTCAATTTAGAACATATCAAAAGACAATAACTACCAATTCCCTTTTACTACAAAAACCTCAATCTGGACATCAATTTGCAATGCATTTTCTAGAAATGCTATGATATGTTTTTTTTTTTTAATCTGATTTTTTATCTGATTTTTTTTACCTGATTTTTTTCATCTGATTTATCTGATCTGATTTTTTTATCTGATACAATGAACTTCAGCTCTTATGGTAAAATCAGATAACATAACTTCATTCTAGTATTAAATTTAGCAACTGCATCTGTATAATGAACTAAGATTTTATATTTAAACACTCCAATTCACTGCTGAACAAAAGTATGTATGTTGTAGAAACAGCATGACAGCAAAGGTCTAAATAAACTGTGTGGCACCTCGTTAAGCTAGTGTAGGTATGACCAATGTATTTCTTTTTTCCTGTAGTGAAAAATTATACATGAGCCAGACAATGTAAATGAAAATCCAGAATGAAACAAAACAAAACTGTTATAATGTTTTGAAGTCTCACTCATTGGTAGATGAAAGAAGCTGGGGGGAAATAATGAGGAAACCTTCCAGATGGCCCTGTGTGACCCTGACTAACATCTGATGCTCTCATGATGACATCACCTTATTGAACAAAAATGTTCAATCATTATAAAATATCTAAATCTCTGCCTAACAGATCCAGTCCTCGACTTCTTCTCTAATATGCAATAAATTGGGCTGCTCCGGTTCTCCAACACAGCAGCGCTTTTACCAGCTTGCTCCAGCTTGAGGCAACTACATGTGAGAGCATCAGAGGACGGACAGTGTCCGTGTGTTTGTCCCCAGAGGGGTGGACTGTATGCTTTAATGATGTCTGCAGCTGTAACGTTGAAAGATGAATTTATCTCTCATCTATTCTCCCCCCCATCTAGATTGTATCAGGATTAACTGTACCTCCAGTAAGTTACTGTTCACCTTTCTTCTTCTTCTTTTTCTACTCCTTCTGTAATATTCACTATTTTTTTTTCTGTTGCCTGGAAAATGTATTTTCTAAGTGAAAAATACCATGACACAATTTTAACTGGGGAGACTTAATCAGTTTAAATGAATGTATCATATTATACCCCACACATGCTAGGGCTAAGGTTCTTTGTAGTTTCTTTTTTATATATTAATTAGAAGTGTGGAGGAAATGGAGGGAGGCTTGAATTAATGACAAACTGGAATATGGCAGTCAGCTGCTATTTTACACACCAAGCTGTGTCTAATTAATGAACCCATTCACTTATAAATCTAGGAAGGAATAAAACGCATGCTATGGAAACGTAGGTATTTTAGACATGGATGATTTCCTTGCGCTATCCCCCAACCCCCACCTTTTTTTTTTTTTTTTTTTTTCTCATTTCTTTCACAGTATTTCACGGCGGCTGTAAATTGATGAGGCCATTCAAAGCACAGAGGAAATACAGAGTGTGATTTTATTATTGCCATTAACCTGCCTCACAGAGCAGAAAGAAGGAGATGGAGAGGGAGGGGAAAGAATAGATCCTGTTGGGGCGTTTGTGGAGGAAGGCGTCTTTGTGTGTTTGTGTGTGCGTGCGAACAGAGAGGCTTCATTGCAATATTTTGGGAAATAAATATCCGTGACATCTATTATTCAGAGCTGGTGATGAATTAATAATTCCTTCACTCGAGTCATAATACAAGAACTGATTTTTTCCACGTAATCCCTCTCAGGTGAGAGACTCACCGTAAAAACCAGATGAAAACATGCAGTTAAAGCCCTGTAACAAATACCACGCTATGCCACATTGTGATAAACTCTTCTCTGATAACAACCAAGTTGGAACTGTTGGCTGAAGTGTTACAGCACTAGAAGGTCGTTGCCTGATCAGAAGAGGAGACTTAAACAACACAACACTTCCTCACACAATCGGATGATGTGACCTCTAGACAAGCTTCTTTAAAGGATCTCTTGTTAGCATCTTTCTAAATGCAAAGCAGCTCCGCCCATACATCCTCAATCGCTTCTGGTGTTTGTGTGCAGAAGACAAGCTCCAATTCTCTCATTCCACTCCCTTAAAAGGTCATCTTACGGTCCAGAGGATAAGGTTAAGGCATTATCTGTTCACATTCATATTGTTAGCCTTCTGATCACCATATTATTACCCCTTTGACAGAATAGAATAGAATAGAATATAATAGAATAGAATAGAATATAATAGAATAGAATAGCCTTTAATTTTCACACATGGATAATATTCAGATGTGTATATTCACATAAAGATAAATAATATAAAAATAAGAATAAGAGATTAATTATATAGTAGGGGCAAAATGCAACATGATAATATTGTGCGGTTACTAAAAATAGCAAAGTGAATTAAAAAAAATGTGCGACTGAGTTGGGTAATTTCAAGAAAATATGTTCAAGATGTGCATATATATGTGCATAAACACGACATATTATTCACAAAAAGAGGACAAATTGTGCAACAACAGGGATGTGCAAATATATCAAAAGATCTGGCTAAATAGTCACAGTTCTCTTTCAGCTGGCAGCAATTGGAGCTTGCAACGTCCACCATGTCGTGACAACAAAAACATTGTCAGAAAGGCGGGAAGCATCAGTGTTCAGCTGTTAAATCCAAGCTACACTGACATTAAGGAGTTGACACTTTGGTGTTTGAAATATCGTCATTTTACCTTTACAGCATTCTACGTGTACCTTCTAGTTACTGCTAATGCAGGACTATCAGTAGAGATTGTCATTTTTTATTTGGGTGTCAGAAAAATTGAATTAAGTTTTTAATGGTAATTTCATTTTAAAATGGGTGTGTCACTTTCATGGTAATACTTGGCACTGTTAATCGTTTTATCCCCAAAATGGAGAGTTAGAAGAAGACTTAACTAATGAGTTGGATGTTTTTTTTTTTTTTTTGTTTTTGTTTTTTTTTTTTACATTTGCGCTATGAAAATAAATATTTAAATTCTTTTGATAAACCATTCTAGAGAGAAGGTGAACTGCATGCTTAGATAAATTCAAAAACAAAGAAGGCGTAGGCTTCCTTTAATAGTTTCTGACCTAATTGTGTCGAAGGAAAATGTTTAATTGAAGGTCTTGGAAAGAACTGTGTTAAGCCAGTGCATTTCCACTCATGAAGAATTAGCTTTTAACATTTTTTCTAGGTTGTTATTTTTGTCCCTTTTTTTTTCTTTTTTTTTCTTCTCAATGTTAATTAATGTGTCTTGTCAGGGACTGCAGCTCTGGTCAGCTTGCCGGATGAGAAATTTCAACACCAACTCAAAGAACACATCACTGTCAATTAGGGACCCAAGCTCCCTGGAGCAGCCCAGAACTGTCTGAAGAAAACACTGCCACTTCTGCTTAAACACTGTTAACAGACACTGACTGACAGTTAACTGAAAATATGACCTGAAAGTACCTTGTGACAGATTTGGTGCTTTTATGTACAGCTGGCCCAGCCATATTCATTAAGAGGAATGGCACGGGTGCCAAGATTTACGGTGTGTAGTAACTAGGAAGGAGACAGAGAGGCGTCTTACTGGATTATCATCTCCCTAATATTATCATCATCTTGAGCAACTGCTTCTGTTCTATAATTGATCTTAGTATTGTCAATAGAGCTCTAAGAGATTCTTTCGATGGACTTTACAACTATGTGGAAATGAAAAATAAAGGACTGACTTAGTCAGGTTATGAATGCAGGGGAGGTTTATGTTGATTTGCTTTCTAAAAGGCTTCATTTCTTCCGTTGCAGTTCCAGAGATTTTAAGTTGTTTTTTAAAGCAATTTGTAATTTTAGTCATTTTAAATGTTGGAATTTACTGTGTGGCTTGTTTTCTATAGACACTGAAAAAAACTCCTCCATCATTCATCTCCTTACTCAGAACTGGGAACTAACTCACAGGCGGTCATGATTAAAAAAAAAGAAAAAAAAAAGAAAGAAACATTTAACTTTCTGTTGTCCATTATTGTAACAATTACAGGCAAAATCAGTTAGCAGCCAAACTGAATTTAAATAACCCCTCTGTGTGAACCTGTATTTCTTAATCTAGCCTTCATTTACAGAAAAATATGACTGACATTTACAACAGTTCTGTAACAGCCACAGCCAATTGGGCTTGGTTTCAATTTTACCAGCATATACATAAATATCTCAAGAGATCTGATGAGGTATTGTTGTGAGAATAAAAACAAGTAGACATGTGAGGGCATGTACGAAACCAAACTTGTAAAGCATGCACATGTAGGTAAAAGCAATGTTGCCACAGTTACCTTGAAAAAGTAACTATTTGCTTCACGCTAGCAGGTGGAACTCTCTTTTTAAGACTGACTTTACCGTGCCATGAAAATGATTCTTTAAATTTGTTGCATTTTTAAAGATGGATAAGAGTTTGTCACCAGCACAGAGTGTTTGTTGAACTTTAACGTCGGCATCTTCAGGTGAAAATAGCAACTATAAATCTCTCTTTTCCCTCCATTGCTGTTTGTACTGATGAACAGTAATTATCCATGCCAAGCTGAATGCAGATCCAACAGGAGGACAATCCAACCTATTTTCTGATTAATTCATTAGAATAAGTTTGCAATTTCAGGATTCTCATGGACTTTACATAAATCAATGTATTTTAAGGCCAAGATGCTAAGCTAATTATTAAGTATTAAAAAAAAGGACAAATCTGAAGGTAGACGTCAAGGAAAACTAATGTAATCTATCTTTAGTTGCAAGTAAGATTTTTTTTTTCTGATGTCAAGATAAATAAGTCTGCTACCTTTATGTGAATGAACTCTGAACTGAAGTATTTTGACTCTATATTATTGACAGAATGCCAGAACCAACTGAGGTCCAAATAATATTAGATATATAAATGATCATATAACACTCTGTTCTGTAGCAAATGTTATGCAACCGATGGCCCTCTTTTCTCTTCTTGCTTTTCTTCCTCCTTGAGGAGAACCAAGGACATGAATGATGGAAGGCAAAGATCAACCATGCTTTCAAGTTCAGCCCCATCCCATTATTTCATATCTCTTCTTCTTAATCCCTCACCAGTCGTCTGGTTCCAATCCTGCCTCAATGTTTAGTGCTTACAAAGCAGCACTGTGCCTCTGCGATTGAGCGTGTCCTGGTACTGTGGTACCCTCACATTTGCATACACATTGCACTGAAGCTTTGAAGATTGCAGAAAGGCGGGAAATAAATAACCAAAAATGGGTTCAGGTGCATGAACTTGGCGCCCCTCTGGAGGCTCCCCACTGTGTGAAAGGGATCAGAGCCTGGGGAGTTATAATGCCATCGTCGTGGCACACCCACATTGCCCTGTTTTGTTACATTCACCCAGCATGAGAACTTTAGAGCTATACAGGGGATTTAAAACTTGAACAACTTTATTTAAATTTGTGTTTGGCTTTAGAAAGGCGAATGTTGGAATTATTTGAAAAATGAAATGGAACATCTTTTTTTCTTTTATAAAGATAAGATAGCAAAGATTTAGAGCATGTTCTCGGATATATACTGCTCAAAAAAGTAAAGGGAACATTTCACTTTAACCTGTCATTCACAGGTTGTCATTCACGAGGACCCAAATTTGGGTCCTCTCGTGAATGACGGGTTAATTTTGTGTGTGGCTCCAAATCCAGGCCTCCATTGGTTAATAAATTTGATTTCCATTGATGATTTTTGTGTGATTTTGTTGTCAGCACATTCAACTTTGTACAGAACAAAGATTTCAATGAGAATATTTCATTCATTCAGATCTAGGATGTGTTATTTGAGTGTTCCCTTTATTTTTTTGAGCAGTGTATATTTTTTGCAACTCTAAAGCTTTCTTGGAGGATTTTGGCACAGTGATTGTGATACACCTCCATCTCTGCCTGCTTGCAATGTGACTCTCATGCAATATATGACGATGTTTTTGGTATGCAGCTAAAGGAATGCTATAATGTTCAACTAAATTTTAATTTATTTAATGAAATCAAATGAGTGAAATTTCACTTGTAAAAAAAAAATCACATTCTGTATTTCATATTTTCAACTTTTTATTTCGTTTTCACAGGATGATTTGATTATAGGGTTATTCTTATTTTTTGTGTGTGTATATATATATATATATATATATATATATATATATATATATATATATATATATATATATATATATATATATATAGTTGTTTTTGTCTTAGCTCCAAGTTTACTGTCTCTTCTGCAAGATAATTTCTTTTTTAAAATAAGATTCTATTTGACATGGTGAAGGATAGATGAAAGTATTGGTGGGTTAACAATATGGAAAGAGATTCTTTCCAAAAGACTTTGCTAAATTGTAAAGTTCTGGAAGGTATTTGCTGCCACCATGTGGAACATGAAAACACTTAAAATATAATTTGAGTTGTGACGGTTGGAAAACACAGAGATCAAGAATAATGATCAAAAATGTCTGAGTTTTATTGAGAAATACTGAATAATGATCCCCACTTCCTGATTTAAAGAAAAAAATAATTCTGAGATACTTTAGAAATGCAACTCCCTGTATAATGATGCAGCCAATGTAAGTCAGAGTGGTGACCATTTACAGTGGTTAATGGACCATTTACTATGTTTACTTCAATTGTTTCCTGTCTATGTTTCCTTCAATTATTCTGACTTCCTTTCCATCTCTTCTCTATATGATTCTCTTTATATGTACTACCATTCAATCTTCCTGTGTGTGTGGGAGTGCGTGCGTGCGTTTGCGCGTGTGTGCATGGGTGTCTTTAATCACTTTTTGGACTATCCCACAGGCAAAGGCCCAGAGACAATTTTTGCGGGTCAGAACCTGAACGATAATGAGTGGCATACCGTGCGCGTGTTCAGGAGAGGAAAGAGTTTGAAACTGACGGTAGATGATCTACCGCCTGTGGAAGGTACTTCTTATCCTTTCTGTTATATTAACTTTGACAGTTTTCTCACCTTTTCTGGGCTCTCGTGGTCTACCTAGACTAGAGCCACTACAACAGAACAATAAAACAGCCATGCATCTGCAGAGAATTTTAAAAAGGCCACTTGTTTTGTTTTTATTTGTTCCTGGGTAAGTACAGTGCCTTGTAAAAGTATTCGTCTCGCATGGTTTTTAATGTAAAAACATTGAAAAGTGTGGGTTGCACATGTACTGTATTTACCCCATTTCATTATGAAACACCTAATTGCAATGCAGACGTGAGAAAATTAAACAATATAAATCAATCTGTGTGCAGATTAAATATAAATACAGTTGAGATTCATATATTCAAAAATAAAAGACCATCTAAACATGCCAGGTATTGACATGTTTAGATGTCAATACATCTAAACATGTAGATGTATAACATTGGGTGTAATAATCCATTGACAGGATAGATTTGTCAAATATTTCCTGGATGGATGAAAGCCACTGTTGAAGGAAAGTCATAAAAGAGCTTTACGTAGTTTTCGAGAAGCCATATAAGGAGCATTCAAAATATCTAAACGACGTTCTTTTGAGCAGATTAGTTAAAATTGAACCTTTTTGCCTGTGTGCAAGATGTGTGGAGGGAAATAAATATTGAATAATGAGATGTTAATAATGTTAATAATGAGATCACCCTCAATACACCATTCCTATTGTGAAGTACAGTAATGGCCGCACTATAAGTTGATGGGTGAATCTACATTAAAGAGTTACCCTGAAAAAGAGAGGTGTGAATACTTTTAGAAGGTACTGCTTATTTACTGAAAATCACTAGTTCTTATTTGGGCAAAATGTTGCTGCCTTGAATAAAAAATGTAGCGATAAATCAAACATTCTCTGAAGGCATGCTCAGTGTTTTTTTTTTTTTTTTTTGCATAAAAAAGTGTGCTGACATGACATCACTAGTTCTGCTGTGGATCCTTCATTTTCAAAGCTCTTCCCTTCTTAGCTTTCATTTACCCCATTTAATGACATCCTCTCTCCCTCCTTCCCTTTAAATCAAAGGTCAAATGGCAGGTGACCACACCCAGCTGGAATTTCATAACATTGAGACGGGCATTGTGACAGAGAAGCGCTTCATGTCCATGGTGCCCTCCAACTTCATTGGCCACCTCCAAAGCCTCTCCTTCAATGGCATGGCTTACATTGACCTCTGCAAAAATGGTGACATTGATTATTGCGAACTCAATGCCATGATTGGCTTCAAGAACATCATTGCCGATCCGGTTACCTTCAAGTCACGGTCCAGCTATGTGACCCTCACCACTCTGCAGGCCTACTACTCCATGCACCTTTTCTTTCAGTTTAAAACCACATCTCCTGATGGTCTCATCCTCTACAACAGTGGTGATGGAAATGACTTCATTGTGGTGGAACTGGTCAAAGGGTAGGTGCATCCATTCGTGCAAGTGGGAATTTGTATTCTTAAGGGCAAAGTTTGCAAGTTTTTTTAGAAGAGGTTTTGCTGAAAGGCTATAAGCCGATATTAATTTGCCTACAGTAAATAACTCTCTTGGCATCTTCAGTGAGTTTGAATCCAGTTTAGTTTTGTCCTTGAAACCAAAGCTAACAGCCTGGCTGAGAGAAGCCAAGACCAAAACATCATATCAGTTCATGTAAATATTGTTTATTTTTAAACATTGTCATGTTTGAATTAGGTGGTAATTTATACAAAGCCGATGGTTGTTTACACAGGAAGTGGAGAGAGGAAGCTTTGAGTGGAATCTGCAAGAGTGGTGCAGACATTTTTATGAGTGCTGGTTTCAAAACCTAAGAATGAGTAAGGAGTCAGCTGTGACCCAGCGGTTTTGATGAATACAGGAAGCAGAGTAAAAACGCTGGCAGGGAGAAGCATCTACCTTATCTTGAACACACAGAAACATACTTACACACTCTGGCCCCTCTTAAATATGTCCTTCACACTTAGACGGACACACACACGACCTACAGACTCCCTTACACACACAAAGCAATCATAGCGAACACGTCTTAGTGTCCAAGCCATTCTAGTTGATAATACATAATGTGTGGATATTTATCTAACCGGAACAGGAACAGGTCATCTCATCTCATCATATCAGGTCTTACCTGGAGGAGAGAACATTTTCAGTGAAT